TCTCTACAGCGACGGATCCCAACCAGAAACTCAAGCGTAACGAACTATCATAAGGAGCCTTAGCAGAAACAGCACACGGTTTAGGGTTTAGGGTTTGGGGTTTAGGGGTTTAGGGGTTTAGGTGTTTATGGTTTAGGGTTTAGGGTTTGGGGTAGCTGTAAGGCTCTCTTTGGATTACTATAGGGGCCTCAATGATTACCAATACTGTTTTGGTGGTTCCTGAAGAAATGTACTATAATGGACCCCAAAATCCTGTTCTAATTATTAAAGCCCCTAAACCCTAAAACCTAAAAGTAGCCCTTATAGAACCCCTTAAGGAACCCGTTAAAGGAACCCCCAAAACCCCTATTCTAACTATGAACGCCCCTACATTAGGGATTATGGGCCAAAACGGTCTGGGCTTGGAAGATCCGACCCTAAACCCTAAACCCTAAACCCTAAACCCTCCGAGGGCTGTGTTTCACGGCTGAGGATGGCACTCTCCTCCAATCCGAAAGAACTGGCTTCCTTGCAGCTTTTGGGGGTTCAGGGTGTGGGGATTAGGGTTGAGGGTTTAGGGTTCTAGGGCTTAAGGGTTTAGGGTTTAGGGTATGAGGCTTTGGGTTTGGGGATTGGGGTTTAGGGTTTAGGGTTTTAGGGCTTAGGGTTTGGGAGCTTGGGGCTTAGGGTTTGGGAGCTTGGGGCTTGGAGTTTGTGCCCCGATTCGAACAGGAACATGTTAGGGTTTAGGGTTTAGGGTTTAGGTTTTAGGGTTTAGGGTTTAGGGTTTAGGGTTTAGGGTTTAGGGTGAACGTCTGGGAGCCGGACGGCACAGCCTTCGCCGTGGAGTTGGTAAGTGCCTCTGCAGCATCCGCACACGTGCCACAAGGCATAGAAGAAAAACTCTCCCTCAAACCCTCAAACCCTAAACCCTCAAACCCTGAACCATCAACCCTCAAACCCTCAACCCTCAAACCCCAAACCCTGAAACCCCCAAACCCTCAACCCTCAAACCCTAAACCCTGAAACTCCTAGACCCTAAACCCTCAAACCCTCAAACCCGAAACCCTAAAACCCTGAAACCCCTAAACCCTAAACCTTCAACCCTCAACTTGATCCCGTCATGTCCGAGGGTTGCAAGGAGCCTTCTGCATTCGGGCGCTCTGCATCAGCTCTCCTACACACAGGTCAATAGTATAGTAGAGTACGATAGAGTAGAGTAGAGTAGAGTAGAGTAGAGTAGAGTAGAGTACAGTAGAGTAGAGTAGAGTAGAGTATAGTAGGGTCCGGGATAATACTGTACGGCATGGTATAGCATGGTCTGCTGTCCTTCTGCAAGAGCTGTTAGGGCGTCGTACTCGCCATCGTCTCGGTCCTCGCAGGCCCGCGATCAGGGGCGTGTGACAAGTGAGCATGGCTCCAACACATCCCCCCAGGGTTTTGTCCGACTCCTACACGCTTTACCGACAATGTATGTTATTAATCTATTACTGTACTATCCTATCATACCCTGTCCTATCCTATGCTATAACTATACTATACTCTATTCTGCTATACGATACTGTATACTACGAATACGAATACGAGTAAAGGTACTAATACTCATACTCATACAGGTACTAACACCAACACTAATACTAATGCTATACCCACACTAATACTCCTACTAATAAAAGACTAAAACTAATACTAATAATAAAACGAATACGAATACCAATACCAATACTGATACTTATGCTCATGCTAGTACTAATGCCAATACTAGTACGATCACAAATACCGATACGAACATTCATACTCATAATGATACGAACATTAACACGAGTACTCATAATCATACTGGTACAAATGTGAATAATAATAATAATACTGATACTTGTCTTTAGTTCACAAAACTTTCCTGTACTATGCGATGCACATGACCGTACCGTACTGTCATGCCGTACTATGCTGTACTACACTGTACAGTACCGTGGTGTAACGTACTATGCTGTGCTGCACTGCCCTAAACCCTAAACCCTAAACCCTAAACTGCACCCTTCTTTACCATACTTTGCAACACCTGTTTTACTGTACACTCCTTTACACTATGTGCTCTGCTGTCAACCACTCAACTCGACCATGCCATGCCATACCATACCATACTATACTACACTGCACTATACTACACCATGCTACACTTTAATGATTCCTAGGCTATTACATTCTCTAATCTACTATACTATACTGAACCATACTATACCGTACTATACTTCACAGTACAGCGAAAACAAGAGCGTTCACCCCCTTATCCCTGAACCCTAAACCCTAAAACCTGAAACCTAAAGCCTAAACCCGAAATCCTGAACCCTAGAACCTAAAACCTGAAAAAAAAAACTAAACCCTAAACCTAAAGCCCTAAACCTAAAGCCCTAAACCTAAATAAAACCCTACACCTAAAACCCTAAACCTTCCCTCAACCCTAAACCCTAAACCCTAAACCCTAAACCCTAAACCCTAAACCCTAAACCCTAAACCCTAAACCCTACACCCTCATCCTGGGTGGCAGGCCTTCACAGCCGGCTGTGGCGCTTTCGGCTCGGGAGCGATCTTCGCCACCTGGCACAACCCCACTCCTGGAAAGGCTCCTTCAAAGGGTTCAGGGTTTAGGGTTTAGGGTTTAAGGTTTAGGGGCTCCTTCTAAAGGGCTCCGTACTTTAAAGGGTGCTTTTGGGGTTAGGAAGGAGTGGCTTAGGGGTTTAGGGTTTAGGGCCTTTAAGTGTACTGTAGGCTTCTATAATAGGATTCCCTTGAAGGGTACTCTAGGACTTCAGGCTTCTATAACAGGATTCCTACAAGGAGTATTCGAACTATGCCCCTTCTTTGTAGAGACCTTGATCATTCGCCTCTTGCCCGGCCGAAGCGTCAGTTGCAAGATATGCAAACGAGGCAGGCACCATCGTTTGCTGGGCTGCCACCCTTGGAAGAAAGAGAGCAATGCAAACAGGCGCTAGGGAATGCCGGAACTTCAGCAAAGCTGCTGTGATTGCGTCGGAAACGGCTGCATACCAGGTGTGTGAGGCACCCAGGTGGTGTTGAAGGGATCGACTTGTCGTATCCTGTCAGGACAGCAAACCCTCAACCCTATACCCTAAACCCATGGCCCCGGCTGAGAAAGATCAGCAAGTCCGCTCCACCCCTCCTCCCCAGCAACATTGCCGTGGGATCACGGGCACTGCCCAGGCCACCACGAATGAGGACCTCTGATTTAGGGATTGTGGGTTCAGGGTTTCAGGCGGTTCAGGGTTTAGGGTTAGGGTTCAGGGTTCGGGGGCTCGACAAGTTTTCCTCAGGCATCGGCATTTGTCTGAGCCTCTTTGGGCAGTGCTCGTAGCCGAGCTGCAGCATGTGCCTCGCGAGAAAGACGGGAAGAGGGCACACCCTCCACAAACTGCAAAAATGCACCAAGTGCACCTGGATTTGAGGATACCTCGGCAAGCAGCATCTTCAGGGTACAAGGCCAGAACGATTCGGATCGCCAATGCATCTGAAAGGCTGTGCCAAGAAAGCCTCTACCTCTGGATTCGCTGGCTGCTGGTTCTTCGTTTGCTCCATATGCAACGCCACGGCCTCTGCGAAGATGCGGGCACTGCGTCAATGATCCTTCAATACCTCGTCCGCCCGCCTGCGCAACCGACTTGTTCTGGTTGTACTGCCTGGGCAATACAAGGAGTTTATGGCCCTTCTTGAAACCTGAAACCGTACCGCTATATACCCTGAACCCTAAACCCTAAACCCTAATTCATAGACCCTAAACCCTAAACCCTAAAACCTGTCAAATAACTCTTATTACTTATGCCCTTAAAGAATACCCTCAGTCCGAAACCCCATCCCTGGAAACCCCTGTAGGATCGCTTATAGAACCCCTTGTAGGAATCCACCTGGACTGGCTAAACCCTATGCTATTCCCCCAACCCCCCCAAGAAAAATCCCCCGCAGTAGTACCCCGATAGAGTTCGTCCTAAACCCTAAACCCTAAACCCTAAACCCTAAACCCTAAACCCTTCACGGAATGCGGCAAGGATGCCGAACCGTCCAGTTGATGATAGAAACCCTGCATTGCCATAAGGACCCTATAGTAGATTCTTTCTTATGGTTTAGGGTTTAGGGTTTAGGGTTTAGGGTTCAGTGTTTAGGGCTTAAGTCCCTAGACTGTGGGAATTATGGTCTATCCCCTATTATGCGTAATGCAGGATGTATATGGGTAGTTCTCTAAATTAAGGTCCCTTTTTGGATCCCCAATAGAGTACGGCACCCTTGTAAAAAGGACCCTAAAAAGGGACCCTAATTTAGAGAACTACCCATATCATCAACGTAGTAGCCTTAGGAGGGCTCTCAGTGCTACTACGGAGCACATTAGCGGCTACTTGGAGGGTCGGGAGACTTAGTAAGTAGGTCATAAGTAGACTTATAAGTACCCTAAGAGGTACCCTAATTGGGGTTATAGTACTTGTAAGTCTATAAAATAGCCATTTACTAAGNNAAGTCCCCCGACCCTTCAAGTAGGGGCCGGAAGCTTCGCTTAAAGGATCCTAATCCCCAAAGCCCAAACCGGCTCCTACACCCTGAACCCTCCACCCCCGGGAACTCTAAACCTTAGTGTTTGGGGTGTAGGGTTTAGGGTTTAGGGTTTAGAGATTAGGGATTAGGGTTTAGGGATTAGGGATTAGGGTTTAGGGTTTAGGGCTTGAGGATCGGCGTAGAGGCTCCTAAACCCTAAACCCTAAACCCTGAACCCTAAACCCAAACCCAAAACCCTAAATCCTAAACCCTAAATCCTAAACCCTAAATCCTGAACCCAAACCCAAAGCCCCCATAAGCTCCTCCTTTTGGCCCCGCCTGGCTAGCGCCTGCACTCGCTCGAGATCCTCTGGCATGACCTTCACATCGAATCCACTGCCACCGCCGCCTCCACCGCCTTAGATCTCCCGGGTTTCGGGCTTAGGGCTTAGGGGTTTGGGCTTTAGGGTTTAGGGTTTAGGGTTCTTAGAAACGCAAGAGCCCCGCAGTCTACGATAGGGGTTGGGGCTAGGCGGGGCCACAAGGGACCCACACTTTCTGCACAGTTCAGCTTTGCTTGGTTCAGAATCCACTGCAAATACGGGTTTTAAGGTTTAGGCCAAACAGTGGTTGAGGATTCGAGTCTAGGGTTTACGTACGCCAAACGGGGGTTTCGGGACTATAGGGCTTAGGATTTAGGGTTGAGGTCAAACAGGAACTTAGGGTTTACGCTGAATAGGGCTTTAGGGGTCTGGGATTAGGCCAAAGAGGGGTTTGGGGCTTAGGGCTTAGGCCAAGCATGGGTCTAGGCGTTACGGATCAGAGTTTAAGCCAAGCAGAGGTTTCGAGTTTTGGGTCCTGGGGACGAGCAGAAAAGCAGAGAAAGAGCGCAGTAAGAAGTCACCGTCTTCATTTGAGGCCGTCGCCACCCGACTTTTTCTTGGCAGGACTCCTGAGTCATCTTCGCCATTCAGAAACGCTCTACTTTTATCTCGATGTAAGGAGGGAGAGAGAGATATACCTTTCGAACTTTGTACTAGCATTAAACTGTAAACTATACTACACTACAACACTATACTAGACTATGCAATGCTATCCTATGCTATGCAACTTTATGCTGTGGTATACTATACTATACTATACTATACTATACTATACTATACTATGCTATGCTATGCTATACTGTACTCTACTCTTCTACACTATACTATACTACACGATACTACAATATCCTATACTACATATACTTCAGTAAAGTAAAGTACAGCATAGTATAGTATGGTACAGTGTAGTGTAGTGGAGTGCAATAAAATAATAAAGTAGAATAGAGTATAGTAAAGTAAAGTATAGTACAGTATCATATAACATAGTACCGTATAGTACAGTATGCTATACTGTACTGTACTATGCTCTGTTCGATGCCAATCTGTTATGTTATGTTATGTTATGCTACATTATGCTATATTAGATCGTTTCATACTTTATCTCATGATGTCATAAAAAACTGTTGTACCATACTAAATAACTTTTATGGTGCTATATTTTGGTACATTGCAATGCTATACTATATCAAGCTACATCATGTTATATGTTATTTTATCATGTTTTGGCACCATCTTCTACTGTACTATACTGCATTATATATTCTATTCTTTGACTCTGGGTTTAGGGTTTAGGGTTTAGGGCCCTTATGGTTTAGGGATGAAGCCGCTCCTGCTCTTGGAGACGGGTGTGCGACTCTTTCGTCGCCTTGTCCTCTCAGGAGGTCTGTCCACCCTTTCGACAGGTTTCCTGCGCCACGGATGAGGGTTTAGGGCTTTAGGGGTTTAGGGGTTTATAGGGGTTTAGGGCTTTAGGGCTTTAGGGGTTTAGGGTTTAGGGCTTCGGGCTTAGGGTATATGGTTTAGGGTTTGGGGTACATGTTTTAGGGTTTGGGGTTGGGGTTTCGGCGTAGGATAGGGTTCCGGAGAGGGGATCGTATAAAGAGTCCTTTAAGGGATACATAGAAGGGTTAGGGTACTTAATCATTAGTGACAGTGTATGGCTCTGCGGATTGTATCGTGGCATGATGGTCCTTATCGAGTAGTTTTTCTTGTAATTGGTCTGTGTGGCGGGACTATGGCAGCTCACTAAAGCAAAAAGCAGATGTCTTGCACCTGTAGGACTATAGGTCTATAGAGTTATCTCTTCCAGTATGCAGACCCTGCGCACCTCCTGGATCGGGAGTTAGACCTCCGCCGTAGTCTTTCTCTATCTCTGGACCGCGACCGCAGCCGTAGCGACATGACCTGACATCATCGAAAACTAAATGGGAGTTTCCGAAAATTAAGGGTACCTTATTTTAGGGTCCTCGGGTCCTTATATGAAGGATCCCATTATTTAGGGTACTACATTTGGCTCCCCTATTTTCAGAAACCCCCAAATCGAAACCCCAAAGCCCTCAGCCACGGTAGTGTGAGCTCCATTAAAAGTCTCGAAATTCGTTCGCCCCTCATACCCCAAGTAATAGAACCCTTAGCTCAAGTGGCCTACCAACCATAAACCCTAAACCCTAAACCCTAAATCCCTAATCCCTAATCCCTAAACCCTAAACCCTATACCCTAAGCCCTAAAACCCAAAGTCCCTAAGCCC